GTGTGGCTTGTTGGTGTCCTTAGACCGGCGCTCTGCATGGGCGGTGCGGTGAAAAGCGCTCGACGAGCGAATAACGGAGGCGTTCTACGGAGTACAAACCCAAGATTGAACAACAGACGTCAGGGATCACGAAGAGCATGTAACAATGATACCCCATGCTAAGATTGCATGCACTCGATATTTGATCATGTTTCGCACTTGGCTTGTCTCTTCTTCCATCTTCCCTGTCTGTACAGTAGGCTTCATAGTATTTATTTGAGTGTTTGATTGGATTGGCGTGCAAATGCGGAGAGTTTGATGTGATGACGAGTAATACGTGAAGACGGAGTTTTCTTCTCCTTTCCCTACCATGTATACACAGGCTTGTGATGGCTGTGGTGAGTGACGTACGTACGTGTGATGCCAGCAAAGCATGCAAAGCCACACGCAGGTCTCTTCCAGCATCTTCCCTGGCTGCTGTAGATGTGAAGGGGGGTGAAGGAAGCGACTTGTGCTTTTTTTTTTGAAACCATTGCCTGGTACATGTAACTCGCTGGACAGGTCTTGTCGAAACAAGCAAACAGACGCAAGTACGAGGCTTGTTTGCAGCAGCGAGCACATGGCAGTTGTTGACAGCGGGGGCGGGGATGGGGGCTGTAATAGAGGACAGAAACGGACCTTTTGGGTCAAGTGCCGCGAGGGCGTCGACAGTCCCGAGCGCTCACCCGCTCCACTTGGCTGCTACACGTCAGAGCACTACCACCCAAATCTCTCACAACAGCGCACCTAGAACAGTGAACCCCTCACCGCACCCTGATCTGATTCCGGCTGGTGCATGGCGAGCTGCTCTCCTGATAGGCGCTCCCGCGCAACGTTCCCACCTATTACGCCCAATCCAACAAGCCCATAGCCGCGCTGCCCATCTCGCCCGCACAAGCCTGCCCTGCTTTGGCGGCCCACACTCATATCAGCCTGGAGCTCCACGCCATCTCGCCGCCATGTTGAATTCGTCAGACTCGCACCGCCGCCGCAGAAAGGACCCGGACCGCGAGCGCAGAAGCTCCCGCACAAAGGATAGGGACAGAGACAAGGACAAGGACAAGGACCGCCCACGCCATAGGAGGAGCCGCTCCCGCAAGACCCGCTCCTCGGCCTCCAAGGACGACGACGACACTGAAAAGCCGCCCCTGCCCAGCCGCCCCTCGTCTGAGCGGGTGCGCACTTCGACCTCGACCTCGACTCTCGCCTCCTCGCAGGCCTCCAAGTCGCACAAGATGGCAGTCGTGCCCGAAATGGGACGCCGCGGCTCGTTGGGCTCGGACAACACCTCGAGGATCAGCTTACCGTACCCGTCGCATTCCAAGACGTATGCAAAAGAGAGCATCTACGCCCGCGACACCATCGACAGAAGAAAGTCGAACATGACGCCAGAAGCCACGGATGTCGACACAATGGTGGCAGACAAGGACAACGAGGAGCCCACTGTGGCACAGCCGCCCAACCACGTACCACCCCCACCCTCGCGAGCGCCCCCAAGTCCCCCGCTCACTGCGACTACCGCCGCAGACTTGAGGAGGGCAGCCAGCTCAAACAGCATGTGGCGCAGAGACGCAGACGTACTTGCCCGGGAGATGGAGGACGGTCGCCAGAGCGTGGACAGCGGTACGCGCATGACATCGCACGCTGGCCCCCGAATAGCATCACGCTCTAGTGTCAGGGAGGGCGACGAATTTGACGGCACTGACCTTACCTCCACTACCGGATCACAGCCCAGCACCATCCGTGCAAAGTCGCCTCAATTGGCGCCGAGGACGACGACAGCAAGTCCCTCAAACGCCCGGCCGCCGGGCAGGACCTCGACGCCCGTGAGAACATCAACACCAGCCAGAACATCAACACCAATCAAGGTCAAAGTCAAGAGCAGAGCACCGTCAGAATATACCCTTGATTCAGAAGCTACCTCTGTTATTCAGGATCACAGTGCCCACCATCGGGGCTCATCTCCCCCTCAGTCAGATGCATCGCCCTCTTCTGTTGTAGATTCATCACCGCGCACTCCCACCCAGCACTCAGTTCTGCCTTCTGTAGTCTCCTCTGCCAAGGATGGAACGTCTGTGATCGAGGTCATGACCGATCCAATGTCCCGCACGCAATCGGTAGACCCCAGCTATGCACAGGCACCCATGACGCCGCCACCTCCACCGCCGCCGCCAATGATGATGGACGCTCCTCGGGTCGACTACTTGCTGCAGAATGGCGGTCTTGCCAAGCCAATCCCGCGAAGCTTGCTGGCAGCCATTGATGGAGTTCCCGCTGCTTCGTATTCTCACTACACTACGCCGCGACTATCTGGTGCACAGGCCCACGATGTGCGATCGTTTTTCAAGCCACTGCAGAACGTTCTCAACAGTTACAATACCGTCATGGACACGAGTGGTTCGCTAGCCGTTGCCACGGGTTACCGTTCGGTTGCACGGCGCCTGCTCGATCGTCTCGAAAACGTTTTTGCTCGCAACATCTCATCTGAGCATTGCCAGTGCATGATGTGCTTTGACCGGCCAGTCGTTGAGGATTCCGCAGGGGTGAACTGGGGAGAGGTCTTGGAACTGGTTTCCGGCCGTTGTGAGCTACCACCGTGGCCACCATATGAAGAAGGTCCTGGGCCCGGACTGGGTATATCATCTGACCTAGAAGCACCATGCCAACGGATTGATGTCGATGTTCCCGAGCAGTACCGCGAGCACTATGAGAAACAGTCCAAGAAGACCAAAGTTGCAGTACAGTCTTGGCTGTCTGATCAGCAGGACAACGTCCCCGAAGATGCTGATGACGAGACACTCACATTTATCATGCTTACGCGCCTAGAGCAACCACAAAGACCGCTCTTCTATGCGCTGCTATGGGGATTGGAGAAACTTCCCAATCCCAGGACGCAGAAGCCTGACACGGGCACTCCGCCATACCTGACCAAGGCCGGCGTCGCACTGCAGCGTCTATATCGACTCACCAGCCCGCCGCGTGACCAGCTAACCGTCATGTATCTTATCCAGCATGCCGACATGCACAACATGCTGGCAACCCTAGCAGCGGTTACCAAGCATGAATGGGAGATCCTTGTGTCTGGGCGTTTTGACGGGTTCCTATGGTCTGGCGCTGAAGACTTACCGGACCTGAGCGGGACTCCACCTCGAACGGGCTCGAGGGCGGGCCAAATACGGCCAGCCGACGGACCGCAGCGCTTTGCTTCACCGTTCGCACCTTACTCACGCCCTGGATCCACCCGGCCGGGATCAGTGCGGCCGCCCGGAGGCGCCCCGGTACAGATTGATGAAGAAACGGAGATTGCCGTGTTGGCAGAGATCGAGCGAGAAATCTACCTGGGCATGGAGGCTATGGAGGACGCCTTTGAACAGCTTCACAACCAGGCAGAGATGGTACGGCGACGGCTGCGTGAGCGGGCTGCAGCTCTGTCCATGGTGGCACAGCGACGCAGGGGCATGGGAGGCATTGAAGTTCGGACGGATACCCCGGCCAACCTGCGCGACGCCGACGAAGGCATCGACGATCTCAAGAGCGAGATTGGACCTGACGACTCGGCCAGCAATGTTAGCAATAACCGAAGACGAAAAGCCCATCGGGCGCGCGAGAGGAGAACGCCGGCTCCGGTGGAGGAGGAGAGCGAGGAAGACGTGGCGCTTGCGGAGCGGATACGCAGACGTTTCTGATGTGAATGAATAAAGACTTTGGATGGACCTGGGCATTTGGAGGAGTTTCTTCTATCTTTCCTTTTTGCTTTTGTCTTGTTAGCAGGAGTTTTTTTTTGTTTTCGTTTTTGTCAATGGTTTGGGGCACCATGGCGGATACGATTTCATGGTTTGAGATGACGGCCGCAACAAATGGATACCCAATTTTAGTGAGAGAGTGTGGACGAGGGCATGGACTGTGCGCCGTGCTGCATCCTACATAGCTTGGCGTAGATGGCGTACGTATACGAAATGTATATTGTTTACTTTGCGGGTCAGACGGATGACGTCAGTTGTGATCGCTGCCAGCATGTTGATTCGCATGAGGGTGAAGGAGGAACGAGCATGCGGGGGGGAGAAGGGGTATGATGATGATGATGGTAGTAGTAGTGGTAAGTAATAACAAGTGTGCTCCAATCACGCTGGGCTATGGGCCGCCGCTTCAGACGGCTGGTTCCACGGATACATGGCGCAATGGAGACGACTGGCTGGCAGCATGTCGTGGACAGGACACGATGCGACGACCGAGACGAACGGCTGTTGCATGCTCGCAGGCACTCGTTGTTTTGAGGGGAATGGGGAGAGGGAGAAGACAGGCGTATCATGACTGCGTACGCGATGCAGTACAGTCCTACTAGTATATCCTTGCACGCGCCGGGCATGCATTCCCCTCCATGACAACGGCAGATAACAAACAGGCTGGGCACCGCGGATACTTGGACCTACATACATAGATCGACGCATCCATACACAGACGAGCGAAGCCCAGCCTGGCATCCACTTGGGCATTGATCACTCTCTCTCCGGTCCAGAGGCCGCCCGGTGCGCTTGTGCTGCGTTGTGCTGTGCTTGCTGTGTTGTCTATCCTTCGCATCGTCAGTCAGTCAGTCAGTCCCATCGACGCCCACCACCGACGGCCATCGCCCCCACCATTCGCCGCCGCCGCCGTTGCCCTCGCAATCCGTGTTTACCCAACACTGCCCTCTGGTCGGTAGGCGCCTCTCCACGTCCAACGCCCGCCCTCTCTTTTTGCCAGTGCATGTTCACTGGCCCGGCCAGCACTCGCTTCTGGCCCCGCCAAAGCCGATTCCGCGAGGCGCGACGTCGCCCTGTATTTGGCCTTTGACGCTCAGTCCTGTCGCTTCGCTGTGACCGCTCTTTCGCTGCACCACCACCAGTCGCTCGCTTTTGCCCGCCAGCCAGAACCCTCGCGCGTGCACGTCGCCCGCTCTGTCTCGCCCCGACCCCGCCTGCGCCGCCCCCGTGTCCAGCAACACCATGGCGGCCGAAGTAGGCGCCAACGAATCTGTCGACCCCAACACGCTCTACACCAAGCAGGAATGCATAGGCGGCGGCAGCTTTGGCAAGGTCTACAAAGGCCTCGACCGCCGGACCGGCCATACGGTCGCCATCAAGGTCATTGACGTCGAGAATGCAGAGGACGAGGTGGACGACATCATGGGCGAAATCATGATTCTCTCCGGCATGAACTCGCCCTATGTCACAAAGTACTACGGCTCCTACCTGGCTGGCACCGACCTGTGGATCGTCATGGAATTCTGCTCTGGCGGGAGCTGCGCAGACCTCATGAAACCAGGCATCATAGCAGAGGCTGAGATTGCTGTCATCCTAAAGGAACTACTCATGGGCCTCAGCTATCTTCACGACGACAATAAGCTGCACAGAGACATCAAGGGTAGGTTGAACAAAACATTTCTTTTCTTGTCTCTGTTTGCTTTCAGTAATTTCACCCAGACTGCTAACAATTTGCAGCGGCAAACATACTGGTTGGGTCAAATGGGCAAGTGAAGCTCGCTGATTTTGGTGTCTCGGGACAGCTTTCGGCCACAATGACGAAGAAGAATACCTTTGTTGGTACCCCCTTTTGGATGGCACCCGAGGTGATCAAGCAGTCTGGCTACGACGGCAAGGCTGACATTTGGTCTCTTGGTATTACTGCACTCGAACTGGCTAACGGCGAGCCCCCTTATGCCGACATTCACCCCATGAAAGTCCTCTTTCTCATCCCCAAGAACCCACCCCCCACATTGCAAGGCAACTTTTCGCCTGCCTTCAAGGAATTTGTCGACCTTTGTCTCCGAAAAGACCCTAGGGAACGTCCGAGTGCAAAACAACTTCTTCAGACAAATTTCATTCGCAAAGCTGGAAAACCTGCACGTCTACAAGAGCTCATCTCCAGGTACCAAGATTGGAAGGTTAGGTATCCAAAGGAGGCGGCCGAATCGGATGATGAGGCTACACCTGTCAAGAGAAAGGAGCCAGTCAATGAAGACTTGTGGGACTTTGGCACTGTACGGCCGGTGGGAGGCGGTCGGGGGCCTGCCCTCGCCCAGATGAACGAATCTGGTACGAATGCCCAACGCAAACCTGTTTCTCAAGCCAAGAACGGTTACGGTGACGAAAACGACGATACGATTCGGGAAAGTCAGCCTCCTTCTCCCAGCAAACGACTGGCACCATTGCAGACGAATGGCTCATCTGCAGCATCGGTGAGAACTGCAGCGCGAGTACCACTACCACCATCCCCAGAGAAGAAGCAAATTCCACTCTTCCCACAGCCAGCCTCGGAGCTTCCGCGGAAGTCGCCTGTGCCTGGCCTCTTTTCACCAACATCAAACAGAGGGCTAGTCACACCCACCAAATCACAGGCTCCTCAACAGCCAAGGCGGCAAACGCCCCTACAGCACACATTTGATGATTTCATCCAACGCGAGATAGCTGCAGATTTAAAGAACCTGGACATCACTCCGCAGCAACGAATACCAACACCAAGTCGAGCTTCAGTTCTGCCACAAATGGATATACCAGAGATTCCGCCGTTCCGCGGACAATCGACAAGTCCGTCTGGAAGCAGCTCACATGCCAACCAGCTGCCAAAGCCGCTACAAAGCCCCATTCGAACACACAACCTACCTGCCCTGCCCGGACAGAAGCCGCTTCCGCCATCCCAACAGTCGTTCGCACCACTGAGTCCAAGCTCCTACGTGCGGACTGACTCAGCGACATCAAAGGATCCATTTGGCAGTCCGATTATGTCTAACAGAAAATCACCGGCGGAACAAGCACAAGGCATGGAATCAACTCCTCCAGCGCCTCCACCACATGCTAGCAAACCGCCACCCACGTCCCGTGGGTCCTTTGGCCGCGCCAGACCTACAACCAATCACTCCAACCCAGTGCAAGCACCCGGCTCACCCGCAGCACCCGCGGAGATCACGGCGCTCAGTGGAGTTGTTGTGCCGGCGCTCGACGCTGCGCTCTCGCGACGGACGTATCATCTCAATCTCAAGAACAAGCAGGAGTCTGCGCAATCCCTAGACGACCCACAGGGCTTTATTGAGCGTAGAAGGCAAAGGCAAGAATGCCATGAAAAGATAGTCAGGCTTGTGAATGAGATCAAGGGTAAGTTTAGCGAACTGGATGGATGGGACGAAAAGGGGGAAGTGGGCATGGGGGGAGAAGTGGCTGGGTTCTTGGAGGGATTCCTGGAAGAGGTGCTTGTAAGGGTTGAGCCTGCAGACGATTAAGAGCAGCGAGCTTGATTGTTTCCGGCGCTGAATGCATTTGAAGGTGTTTTCTTGGTTTGATTGCTCCTTTGGCATGGCGTTTTGGCATTGCGGTTGCGGAGAGAGTCACCTGAGGGTTGCAGCGTATTTGCAGCCATGTTTCTGTTTCCTTGCCTTTTTGTTCTAACAATGAAACAATGATCATTTTCTACCACAAGAAACGTTTTGCTGTATCGCGAGTCACGGGAGCTTAAGATGAACGTTGGATGGAGCGGCTGCTGTGGGGAAGGGGCCAGCCTCCAATCAGGGCGCAGGCAGCTCCGAACCCTGACATTTGTTTCGTCACTTGTCCAGGGACATCTCATTACCATCTCTACACTTTCCGCTCAGCACCGAGCAAGGCTTTGCTACCATGGCGTGAGCGTCAAGCAATCTTTCGGGGAATACCAGCAGCTAATTTGAAATTACCAGGCGTACAATTCGCAGCCATGCGCTCGAGAAGCTTGCCCGCCTGTCGGCGCAGTCAACCTCGCCAGAGACGACCAACTCCGACTATGGCAGGATGTTTAAGCGATTCTCCAACGCATCCAACTCCATGAAGCTGCAGGAACTGGAGGCAATCCTGGCCCTTTGCAAGTCTGCGCCCTACATTGAGTCATTTGACGTTGCCGAGAAGCTGCTTTCCCGCCTCTCACCCTATCTCACCACGTCCTATACTCAGACTTTCGCGCCGTCGCCTAGCCTCCGCATCATCGAGCCCGCTCCCTACGAAGCCCTCACCTACAATCTTACGTCTGCCGTCCTCTCTCTTGGCCTCCGACATGAACGGCTACAAACACAGGCCGCTGTCGCGCTTCAAGGTTATCTCACGGGCTGGGCCACAGCAGCTGTCCATATGTCGGAACAGCAATTTGTCGACGATGGAAAGGACGACTTTGGGGCAGATGGCGAGCTGGCGGGGGTCATGACACACAGCCTCTCGCTCTTGGGCTTCTTGAACGCTTCGGCAGAGCATGTTCATTTCTGGAATGCCTACGATAGTCTGCAGCTTGTCCAGAATGTACGCACAAACTTGACGGAGAAGTTTCTAATTGCCTTTGAGACTGTACTATCTATTGTGCGTAACGCGCACTCACACCAACACGAACTGCGAGAATGGAAGCGCTACACCAAGCGTTATGCCGCCACTGGACGACCACTCGGAGCCATGGTTCTCCACGACTCATTCTTGAAGCTTGTGCTTGCTTCAGCTTCGCAGCTCGTTGGCACCGGCCACCGTCTGGTTTCGCAGGATTCTGTTCTCAACCACCTGCAGACTTGGCTAGACAACAAAGACCGCCTGCACCTCAAGGCCACGGCCGAGAATTCTCTTGCCGAGGGTCTGGCTAAGATTGCAGCGGAGGAGATGGAACGCCTGGAAAATGATCTCGAATACCTTCAGCGGGTCGGATCTGCTTGGCAGCAGCAGCAGGCATCATCGGTCAAGGCAAAAGTGCTTGTCGCATACCTCTGTTGTACCGTGTATGATAACGACACGGACATTACTGATGCCGAAATACTGACCTCTTGGCTGGACAACGTGCTCAATGACCCTGCGCAGAGTTCGGACCATGAGCTTGCGTCTACAGTCTTGAGGATCATGGCTATTCTGGCCAAGGTCTCACCGCAACTTGCATCGACCTTGGGGCAATCGCTGCCTCGAGTCATTGTTCAAGCCAACTTTGACCACCGAACGACTTCGGTGGCTGCAGAATCACTCGCTGCAGTCCTCAGTCTTCTCCCCCAAGATGCCATTATCACGACACTCTATAGTCTTGGCAACGTTATTAGTGTCGCTCCTGCCTCTGAGCGAAACCCGTCTGCGTCTCCAACGTTGAACGGTACAAAGACTGCGCGTGCAGGGACCGTCTACAACCATCAACACGGCAGTGCAATCTCTCTGGCCCCAAGCGACGTTGATGAGCCGCACCATGTGCACACGACAGTTGTTGAGACTATTGTATCAGTTGCTAGGAACTGCAAGGACTCAAAGATTACCGCACTTGCACTATCAATGCTCGTGCAAAAGATTGGACGTTCTGGCAAGGTAGTAGATGCAAAAATCATCACTGATACAGCCTTTCTGGGCATCCACAGTCCGCCTGGAGAATTCAAGTCGCTGCTCAAGCTTTACACTAAGCTTTCTCACGATGCTCTGGTATCCGACGATGTTGCAAAGCTCGAAGCTGTGAGTGTTCTCCCTTACCACAGCTACTTCATGGCAACTAATATCCTTTCCAGGTCATGGCTGCGCGCCTCAATCTCTCAAAGGAGATCACCGCCGGCGAAGACGCTTTCGAAATTTACCTTATGCACCTGTTAGATACCATTGTCAGCAAGGGAGATGCCCAAGAAACGTCTCACCGTCATCTTCGAGATACGGAGCTTGCGGCACAGGAAATCGCACAACTTCTCAAACCACTTGCAGTTCTTCTTGAACGAAACGCTGAACGACCCGAGTATGCCGAGCTTGACGACTCCATCATCGGTCTCCAGCGTGATGCCTGGTTCAACATTGTCGTTCATGGATTCGATTTGCTCTCCGACTTGGGCAAGCAGTATCGTGAAGAGTTGCGCACGCTTGCGCGGTTTAGCAAGCCTCTGATCACCGAAGAGCGCCCTTTCCTCTCTGAGAGTGATATTGAGTTGAACACGGTGTTGCGTCGCGGTAAATCGCCCGAGCACACGGTCGAGCAGAAGAAACGCCTTGGCAAATTACTTCCATCATGCGAAGCTGACACCAAATCACTCAACTACCAGGAAGCTGTTTTCTTGAGCACAGCTTACCTCGTGGAAGATTTGCGGGCAAGTACGGGAGATTGTACCAAGGCGCTTGTGTACTTCCTCGACCCCAAGTTGCGAACAGGCGCAGTCGGCAACTGCATGTCTGCTATCAGCACAACGGCCGTTCGAACTTATTTGACAAAGACACTGTCAGGTCAATCCCACACCTTCTCAACGCCTTATTTGGCGAAGCAGCTAGCCACCATGTTTGCTGCCTGCTGCCATCGCATCGCTCGCGTTCAGCAAGCGGCAGCCACTTGTGCCGATGTTGTCATTCGTGAAGTCCCATCAACCTTGTGCCAGAAGAGTGCGTTGTTCGCTCTTTTGGAGCTTCTTTCAATCATGTGGTATAGCTGCCTCGAAGGAGAGACGGACGAATACACTTGGAAGTCGACTTTTACCTCCAAACGATCCAACATCGCCGTCGAGCTCTCAGACGACTATGCGTTTCGACGGGCGACGCTAGATGCATTGCACAAGCGCGCAACCATCTGGGTCAAGGGAGCGCTGGACATTGCCCCTCTCGACGTCAAAGGACTTCTTCAGTCGTATCTCTCAGAGTACGACGATGAGTTGACTTTTGGACATATCTCGTTGGGCCGATCTTTTGCCCTCGAGATGGGCTCTGTTATTCCGTCTACGGACCAGCGTCTTGGTGCTGTGGAACGCCAGGGCATCAACATCAATACTGCGTCAGACTTCATTACCCAATACACCACCAGACAAGAGTACAAGTTCCTCGACGGTGTCGCTGATCAAGAGGAAGAATGGCTTAAAGGCGCACCCGCTTCGGAGTCTAGGTCAACGTATCTATCCCGTAGCCTGCATGAGGCGACTAGCCTTTTGGTAGATCTAGAAACCCGTACCCTGGGACATAAACACGTCGCCATTGCAGAGCTTCGCGACATACTTCGACGAGCTGCCGCCTTACTTTGCCGGGTCAAGACAGACCAGTCACCCATTGTTCAGCATCTGGTGGGTATACCATTTGCAGTGTTCTCGAAGCAATCCATCAAGCTCGGTATCTCATTATGGACAAGCGTTGCCAAGGAGAACCCTCGCATGGAGTCTCGGATTCTTGTTGCTATTGCTGAAAACTGGGAGAACACGGTGCGCAAGCGTCGGGGCATCTTCAGCCCTGCGTTGAAGCATGCCGACCCGTTCTACGGAAAGCAAGAATTTGCTGCCACGGACAAAGAATCGCTTTCGAAACGCCAGCAGCATGTCTACAATCTCATTGCTCCCCACTTCCGCCTGTTGCAATTCCTGTCCAGCCACTTCAATGCATCACGGTTGAGCAAGGCGGATGTCGAACGTGTCTATGTTCGGCTCATGCACATCACACTGGATGCGATGAGTATGGGTTGCGAGCAGCCTCTGGCTCGCGAATCTTACTTCCATATCATCTTGCTCGGGTTGCGCATCGCACACCATTGCACCACGATTTCGTCCAAGACTAGATGGCGATTGACGGATCGAGTATTGACTGCTGCTTTGGCATGGTTTGCCAAGGCTCCACAATGGTCTTTTGGAGGCAACAGACTACAGATCAAAGCTGAGACACATGTTTTGGCTGATGTACAAGCGCAGATTGATACCATTGGGAAGGTTACTACCGCTATCGATATTGGTACGAAGCTGAAGGCGAAGCAAGACTTGCTATCCCTGCTTGTCTCAAACGAATTGTCCCGTCTTACGGTGTGGCTTTTCCCTCTTGACGGCAAGAAGAACCATCTGATCTCTGGCCGTCAAGGCAACACGCTCCCTGATGTAAGTCTCTTGTTCCAGAACGCAGTGTAAGCTAATCTCTCTAGGCTGCTGTGACTGCGCATCTGAAGACGGCGTGGGCCGAGCATCCTGGAATTGCGGTGCATCTTGTCAAACGCTTCCAGTCCCAGCGTCTTAATAACGAAGTCAGATGGCAGGTTCTCAATTTTCCACAAAAGGCCCTGGATGAGCCGGATGCGCTGGAGATACTGTTGGGTAACTCCCTACCTAATGATGTCTCCTTCCAGCTCAAGGTATGTGCGAAATCATTAACTATTTCTTTTGCTGACCTTTTCTAGTACATGCTCTACTGGGCACCTGTCAACCCTATCACAGCCGTCACATACTTCATGCCAGCATATGGGAACCATCCCTTCATCATCCAGTATGCGATGAGGGCTCTGGAGAGCCACTCGGTGGATGTCATGTTCTTCTACGTCTATCAGATCGTGCAGACCCTTCGATACGATGTACTAGGCTACGTTGAGCGGTACATTATCGAGACAGCCAAATTCTCACAACTGTTTGCCCATCAAATCATCTGGAACATGAAGGCGAATGCGTACAAGGATGAGGCCGCCGAGATTCCGGATCCTGTGAAGCCGACGCTGGACAAGGTAATGGCTAGTTTGGAGTCGAGTTTCTCACCGGAAGACCATGCCTTTTACGAGCGCGAGTTTGCATTCTTCAACGAGGTTACCGGTATCTCGGGTACTTTACGCTCAGTTTTGCATGAGCCTAAAGAGGTCAAGAAGCAGAAGATTGAAGAAGAGCTGCGCAAGATCAAGGTGGAGGTTGGCGTCTACCTTCCTTCTAATCCCGATGGTCAGGTTATTGGCATTGACCGCAAGTCTGGAAAGCCACTGCAGAGTCACGCTAAGACACCGTTTATGGCCACCTTCCGCATCAGGAAGACCAGGCCGGAAGACCAAGGTTTGGAGGAGACTGAAGATGATGACCGGGACGTGGCACCAAAGAAAGACAACAGCTACGAAACATGGCTTTCTGCCATTTTCAAAGTCGGAGATGACTGTCGCCAGGACGTGCTTGCTCTACAGATGATTGCGGCTTTCCGGGGTATCTTCAACACAGTCGGTCTTGACGTTTGGGTGTTCCCTTACCGCGTGACAGCAACCGCGCCCGGCTGCGGTGTCATTGACGTGTTGCCCAACTCCATTTCGCGTGACATGCTGGGTCGTGAGGCCGTCAATCGTCTCGATGACTACTTTGTCTCTCGATATGGTAATGAAGACTCCATCCGGTACCAGGAAGCGCGTTCCAACTTTGTAAAGTCCATGGCTGCGTACTCCGTCATCAGCTTCCTGCTGCAGTTCAAGGACCGACACAATGGAAATATCATGATTGACGACGCAGGCCACATTATCCATATTGATTTTGGCTTCTGTTTCGATATTGCTCCCGGTGGCATCAAATTCGAGCGCGCGCCGTTCAAGCTCACGGCTGAAATGATTGCTGTCATGTCTGGAAAGAATGCGGCGAATCCATACACCTCGCAGGCGTACCGCTGGTTCGAAGAACTCACCGTCAAGGCCTTCTTGGCCAGCAGACAGCACTGCGACCATCTCTGCCACGTGGTTCAGGTCATGCTGGATAGTGGATTGCCGTGCTTTAAGCCAGAATCCATGCGTAACTTTAGGGATCGCTTTGTGCTGGACAAGAGTGAACGCGAGGCGGCCGAGTATATGCGAGGATTGATTGAGAAGAGTAGGTCGAGTTACTCGACAGGAACATATGATCGGTTCCAGCTTATCACGAATGGCATTCCTTATTAGGATTGTTGTTGTTGTTGTTGTAGGTAGAGGTAATAATTCTGTATATAGACACTATAGACGTAAAGAGACTTTTGAATCCAAGAGTGATTTCGGATCTAGGGATATCTCTGGATCTCAGAGTACTTATGGGGTCTAAGAAAAAACTTTTGGGTTCAATGATACTTTTGCAAAAGGTGATAAACTCATGTCGTGATCTCGGTCGGCTTCTTTTCCTTCTTCAACCCCGTCACAGTCTCCACATGGTCTGTACTCAGCACCGCCGATTTTATGAACAAACTTGCTACAAAGCCCAGGAATGCAAGTACTGTGTATGTGATCCACATGTTGCGCATGGCGTACGCAAACGCTTGCTTGGCAGCATATTCCCATTTGGGGTTATCGCCCAATGTGCTCGGCACCATGACGTTTGCAAGCGCATTCTCGCCATCCAGCAGTTCCCGTATATGCTGTGGGACGCCGGCGTCGCGCAGCAAGGAGGCCTGGGCATCCATGGAATTCTGGATAATTGTGCCGCCGACAATGGTGGACACAGCGACGGCAATGTTGCGGATAAACGTCAACGTAGCAGTTGCACTGGCGACATCGGACTGCTGGACCTGGCTTTGAATCGCAATCAGGGGCGCCTCGAATAAGACTCCTGAGCCCAGGCCGCCGATGGCTACGAAACCAACGGACATTGCCGTCGAAGTTGTTGCGCTGAAGGCGATGAAGAGGCCGAAGCCAATGGTAAGGAGCAGTGTGCCGATCCAGATGATGGGTCGGAAGCGTCCCGTCTTGTGCATTATGACACCGCATCCTACGCCAGCAAGGGCGCCTGTAACGATGAAGGGGAGGAGCAGCAGACCGGAGCGTAAGGGCGAGGCTTCGAGGACGGACTGGAAGAAGAGCGGCATGTAGTATTCTCCTGCTATGAAGACGAAGCCGTGCAGGAAGACGACGGATAGCACGGCGACATTGGTAGCCCGCTTGAACAAGGACATGGGTATCAGCGGGTACTTTGCGACTTTGGCCTCGCTGTAGATGAAGACGAAGAGCATAGCCGTGCCGATAGTAAGGAGAATGATAATCTTGGGCGAAGACCAGGGAAACAAGACGCCGCCAAAGTCGAGACCGAGGAGCAAGAGCAGCGTACAAGCCAGAAAAGTGACGATGCCCAGCCAATCTATCGCGCGAATGCCACGCAGAAACGACGTATGTTGATGCCGAATATCGAGAAAGAGCAGGACGAGAATCGAGGCTACACCACTGATGGGCAGGTTAATATAAAAACACCACCTCCAACTCACCAAGCTCGCGAAAAGGCCGCCCAGCACCGGTCCTACTCCTCCAGCCAACGCCCAAATCCCCTCTGCAAACCCCATCAGCAAGCTCCTCTCCCGCAGACTAAACAAATCACTAATGCACACGTGCACAAGCAATATCAGCCCGCCGCCCGCAGCGCCCTGGAACGCCCGTCCGATAATAAGTTCCTGCATCGTCTTTGCGGAGGCACACACGGCGGAGCTGACGAAGAAGAGGGCGAGGGCTACGAGCATGATGAGCTTGCGGCCCCAGATGTCGGAGAGCGATGCCCAGATGGGGCCAGAGGCGGCGTTGGCGAGCAGGTAGGCGCCGCCGATCCAGGTGTAGCCTGCGGCTGAGGAGAGGTCGCGGGATATGGTTGGGGCGGCTGTGGCGACGATTGTTGCGTCGAGGGCAGAGACGAAGAGGGAGAGCTTTTTTTTTAAGTGGGTGGTTAGTATATAGACATAATCAATCAAGGTTCTTTCTTTCTTTCTTTTTTCGTCTTTTTTTTTAAGGCTTCTTGATGGAAAAGTTTGAAGTAGTTTGATAAGAGACGATGGATGAGCAAGGGAAAAGGTCCAAACGTACAAACAACGCGGTGATAATAGCGACTAAGCGCACTTTACTCCTCTTTCTTCTCTCCTCTACAATCGCAACATCTTGGTCTACTTCTTCTCTTTGCGCTGCGTGCGCAATCCCGTCTTTCCCGGGTGTCGTGGCTGGTAAGGTTTGTAGCTCTTGTTGCTCCATCTCTCTCTCTCTTTTGTTGTTGTCAATCCCAAGGAGATAAGAAAATGTCAATTGGAAATTTGTGTTATGCCGCACCAAGCACTCTTGTTAGGCGGGGGAAAGGCTCAATCATATATCTACATGTAAACCATGCAATTGGGGGGTTTGAACAAAGAAAGATGAAAGGACTACGGATGACTGTGTGATGCTTACAGCATGTAATGTGGTGATGCCCTTTTTTTCCTTAGCGCCCGTCACCGCCAGATGGGCTGGGAACCAATCAGGTGGGGTGGTGGGGCGGGGCGCGATCCGAACGCTTTCTAGAGGCGGGTTAGCTGGCGCCCTTTTCTTCTACCCCACAATGGGGATGGGATGGGATGGGATGGCGCGGAGTCATGAAATTTCCTTTTGGGGAGGTTAGTCATGATGAGGTGGAGTGGTGATTGGGTGGTAAAATGGGGGTCTGGGGAATGCAGTGGGTTCTGAAATAGGATAATTGTCCAGGACGGGCAGGTGTATAGATGCGTTTGGGTTGGAAAAGCTGCAATGACTCATGAATACTACATATTCCAATCAGACTCTATTTATCGATGTCAGCGCATGCAGCACCTACGGTAGTCACCTTGCCCATATTATGTAACACTCGAATTGGATAGACGCCAGGTAATAATAAGGTAGCATAGGTGTGGCCAATGAGAGCAGTGGTTCTGAGAGCCAGTCAGATCGCGTTTCTTCCTGTACGGACACCCACTGGGAGCCCTCTATGCATAGAGGCCAAGCGTCGGATTGTTCTGTAGTGAACAACTGAGATCGCTAGATGGGCAATCCTATATATGTCTTGAACCTATTTTTTTTCCTTCATAGGAAATTTCTACTTCGATATTGTCATCTTTACTACCAGCGGAGCATTGGCTTATAGAAAGGGAGGAAAGTCCACAGTCTGCTTACGTTAGACACATGCAGAGACTGAATCGTTTCCGCTCTAAAACTCGGAAGCATGTGACGAGTGTCAGAACCCAGAGCTTACTTCTTTCTGGAACAAGTGGGGAAGTTCCTCAGTCTGCTCTGCTGCAGATAGCGCTAGACAGCCCCCGCACATCCTACGCAGCTTTGCTAGCGGCTATTCTAGGATGTAAAGCTTTTTTGAACGTTATCACTGCGCTCAAGTCTTTAAGTGTGGTTCTTGTGGACATCATCGTTGATTCTGGTCCCTCGAAATCCTATTTTACTCCAATTTCAAGGGACTTTGAACAGAAATACACAATGATTCCGAAACATACATACTGGATATACTCTGGAGCAAATTAGCTAAGCTAGGAATTCCGGCCACTCACTCGCTCCATATTTCAAATAGTCTTGCTACCGCTCTGGATAAGAGTAGTATCTTTAGATGTTCTCATCTTCTGTATGCAAGAAAACGAGCGTAGCGATATTACTACTTGTAAAATCTTTTTAGACAGTAGCCACAGGTCAGAGTTTACATTCATTCAATTATTTTTTCTATGATATATAGAATACCCTACTTCTATTCTTCAAAACCCTGCCTACAACGACCCGGCCACTATGTGTTGATTCAATTCATACTACATCTACCAATGAACGGCCTTTCAGGAAGCGATCGTAATGCCACGAGAGGGCGGTTACCCTTCATCAGGTCTGTATTAGAGACTGGGCAGTGATTGCTGAGCGTGGCTCTCGGTCATGACTCGCAACCTTACTAGATTAGGACGGGCAGTTTCTTCTCCCATGTGAGCACATTCGCATTGTTTTCTTTACTACTACTGTTCTAAACGGATGGACAGATTTCCGGAGCTCCGCTCCTGCTTTGTAATGTCTGTTTAGTTTCTTGGTACTCTTTAATATCTCCGGCATGACCCTTGGAAGCTGGGCCTCGCCGAATGAGCATTCGGAATGTTTCCGCTTCCACTGGATCGACTGGCACTTACCCCTATGCAGCATAGCCACACTAACCCTTCTGGGAACTTGGACCGCTTGAGCTGCCCTATGAAGCTGATGGGGCGACTTAGTCCATAGACCTTGCGCTTCATCATATACAAGCACTTAGTCGTAGGAATGTCGGTGTAGAATGCCGATGATGGAAAAGAAGGCATTTCTCTTCGATCGTGCCATTCCACCCTGTGTCAGTTAAGAGTAACCAGGACGACGTCTCTTGTGGATGTAATCACATCAGTATTGCACGTATTACCTGCATCTCCGTGTTCTACATCACTACTAGAAACTCCGACCTCTCTGGTTAGTCAGAAACTTAAAAGTCCGACTATATGACAGCGGGTGCCCTTGGCACGGCAGGCTTATATTAAGATTTATACTTAGTGTGGTCGCTGTGATTGGGCCAATACCGAGGCCTTCCATTCAATGCATTGGACTGTCTGGGATTCGAGTAGGGGTAAATTGATAGAAACAGGATTCTCGCTCTTAGGTCTGGATGTTTGGAAACAACGATCCTGGTAGAGGCGCAATCTAAATGGCGGAATTTGACCTGCTTGTCGGGTTGGCACTATGCTTGAGAAGCTTCGATACATGCTGGTACACGTCTACACGAACTTTATCCAGCGATGGAATATTGAGCAATCTAGTGTTCTTATATAGCATAGACTTTGGTGCGTTGCTTACAATAAGCTCCCTTTATAACAGAGTGCTAAACCAGATTACATGTGTTGCGACACACGTATTGAGATCATGACGGTTCCGAACAGAACCGAGCGGAACCAACCGCGTTCCGCTGAGCGTACAGCCGCAGCATACTACCGAGTCAGGCATGGTAACTAATACGCCTCCCAACAGGGGGATGGGGAACAGACTTGGAAGAGGCTCGTTCGTAGGTACGGGCCGAATAGTGGCTTGAACAATTGCATGCATACCGGTCCGTCTCTCAAAATTGTATGGATACTTTACCAGGTCTGAGATTCTGGCGTAGTTTAGAATGAATAGGAGGCATTTTATTGTACACTAAACAACAGACTAAA